CCCTGGTTATTCTAACATGCAGCAAAATTTGGGAACCATTCAGAGCTTTTGGTTCCAAGTGTGGTTCCTGTATAAATATCTATATCACCAGAGAGCTTCTTAGAAGTACAGAATCTCCAAACATATCTCGGATCTCCTGAATGAGAATCTGCATTTTTACAAAATATCCAGGTGATGTTGATATACTTTAGAGGGTGAGAAGTTCTGGCTTAGAGCAGTGTTATTCCAAGGGTGGTCAGCTGACCAGCATTCAGCAGCACCTAGGAGCCAGCTAAAAGTGCAAATTCTTGGGTCACACTCTAGACCTACTGAATGAATATTTCTGGGGGTAGAGCCCAGGAATCTGTGTCTTAATAACTGCTCCAGGTGGTTATCATGCATGTTAGATATACCTAACAAGAATCTGCATTTTAACTAGACTCCCTGGTGATTTATAACCCCATTAAAGTGAGAGAAGCACTGGCCTAGAATTTTTAAGTTAAAAAACAAACAAATGAAAAAGGTCACTGATCCAAGATGCTTCAAAGCATATAACTTAGACTGGAATATCTTCATATTATATTCTTATTTCAGAATCTGCTCTCTTTCTAAGTCAATTTCTCAAGAATTTGAGAAACTGGAACTCACTTGTAGAAGAGTTTTTATTCTATTGACCTCTAGCTTATGAGACAATTATGCAACTTTTGTGCAAACATCTGCCATCACAAACTACCTTCTTTATTGTCTAAGGGGATCCTTGTCTCTGTTCAGGAGCTCTTAAAGCCATTTCTTTCAAGTGCATAGACACAGTTTGCGAAAAATGTCCTGTTACTGTCGTCTACCCAAAAAGATATCTTTACAACTGAAAGCTTCACAAATTTCTCTGAAGAGACTCATGCATAGTTAGTTACATACTGTAATCAAATTGCGGAGTACTTAAAGACCTTGGCTACGTCTCTGGCTTGCCAGATTTTGACCGTCTAAATGGACTAGCACATTGCATTGGGCCTCAGAAACAAAAACAGCATGGCTTCTTCAGATGTTGCTGATTTGAGGGTCCTTTCAAACTACACATATCTGATATTTTAAATAAAGATAAACAAGTAGGGAGAGATAGAAGAAAGACTCAGAACAAAGGTAAAATTGTACATTTGTTTTTATTCATGCCGGAAACATAATAAGAGTCCTTTAGAAAGAATGGAAACTAAAGAAAGCATAAAAGATTGTAAAATGTTCCTGACCATAGCACTAAAATTAAGCATGTACATCCCCAGTTTTATAAATGGGAAAGCTGAAGACCAATGTCAGTATTAAACAACCTCATCAAACACAACTCCATCTCCACTAACACTCTAGTTTACTTTTAAGCAACTTATATTACGTGTCATATGTGTCAGGATCAATTGTCAAAGACTTAAAAATGAACAAAAGAAATGACTGGGTCCTTCTTTTTAGCTAAGTGCTGGGCAGACCCTCTAAGAATTATCTGCTTTTGTAGGGGTGGGTGTGCACCTTTGAGTGACTTCCTATTCTCTCAGCTATTCTAGAACTCTGTGTTGGTAGAAGGGAACGTGTAGAAAGGGGCAGTAATGGAAATGATTCCTGTCTACATCAATGCAAAGGATTTTGCTCAGTTGAGACACAATTTTGCCCAGGAAAAGAGATAATCCAAAACATTAGGTTTTATTGCCCTATAGGATATAAACCAGTTTTGCATCTGTTAGTAAATTTATTTCAACCTTTCTATTGTGTGTTGCCTGTTCTTCAAGTTCACCTTTGAAGCGGTTTTCTCAGCTTGCTCATTAGTTATCGAGATATATGAAATCCTTGACCTTGCGTTCATATTATATTTGTATGAAAGGTTTTTCACTTTTAATGTGACAACGCTAGTGTATTTTGGGGGTTCAAAAGAAGGAGAGGAGTCCTGACTGCCATGGCAAGGGCGGAATGATGAAACACATTGTTACTGGAGGAGAGGATCTGGGGAGATGGAATACCTGACCGCAACCCCATCCTCTACCAGGTTCTTGATTGTACCACAGGAAAGAATTCAAGAGCAGAGTCAGAGTAGAAAGTGAGAACAGGTTTAATATAAAGAATAAAAAATACACACTTCACATGCAGTCTGTGCTGGCTCAAGAGTGAGCACAGCCCTACCTTCTGCCTGGATTCTACCTTTATGGTTGGCTATTTCATACATATTCATACTATCTAATGAATATTTAACTAAGTGGGTGGTTCCTAGTTGTGTAACTGGTTATATAACCTAGCCCTGTGCATGCTCTGTTTGCTTCTTTGGAGCATGCTCAATGGTCAAATTCCAACATATTCATCCCAAAATACTCAGAATATATTCAGTGCTCTTTAGTGCCTCCAGTGAAAGGTCTTTCAAGGATACAGTTCTTTTTACTGAGCATGCTCAGCCACTGAAATTACATAAATTGGCCTACTGAGTCTCAATATCCCGTGTTGTTACTGAAAAAAGATGCAACATGCAACGGTAACTAAGGACCCAGAGGAGGAGCCTGAGACCCTGGGGAGTGGTTAAAGATTCATGGGCATGGCTTGAAACCCAATCCTAGGGAAACCCAGCATCTCTTATCTCAACGTGTCTAAGGGGAGGAGGAGTGTTGCAAGCTTGAAAGATTTTAATTGTCAGAAAAGGAGGACACAGTGCACATTTTCTAAAATGTTTGGAAGTTAGGATACCATAGCCCCAAAACAGCAATGGAGCAGGGAATTTGGGTTGTTGTAAAACTATCCAAATGCCAGAGGCCGTGAATAGAAATGTGAAGGTGAATGGTGTCCTGAGCAACTGCTACTTGTCTGCTGGTTTGCTAGGGAAAGTACCCACATAAATTCTTTTCAATCCCTAAAGAATCTTGAGGTAGGAAATTTTTCCTGAATTTACAGATGAAGAAAAGGATCACAGATGGTGAAAATAATATAAAACATCACACATCACACTTTTGTAAGTGATGGAGCTTGAATTCAAGCACACTTGTATCTAGATGAAGATCCTCACGTTTTCTACTACTCTACATGGCCTTTTAAACAGTATTTGAAGTTATCTACTTGAAAAATAACAACAAAAAACCCCAACTCACCCCTGATGTTTGGACACACAAAATAGGATCTTCCAATAGCTGATCTTGCAAATGCTTATATATGTGGATTGTCTTCTGCAGGAAATAAAGTTTCTGAAAGCTGATATTCTGGGATAGGAACTGAAAACGTTATGGGACAGAATGGAAAGTCAACCTTGGATGAATACCTGTCATCTGAACCAAAGCAGGAGGGATTAAAAACAGCTTTTTTTTATTCGGTAGAGATTTTAAGCCAAGACGAAGACCTTCCTATTAGTCCTCCATGCTCGCATATTTGTTATGTGTGTCCTGTAATAAACCACATCTTTTCACTTCACATTCCTTCTCCCACAACCAGCCGAAAGAATCGGGGATTAGATAAGTGAGGGAGAGGAAGAACAGGGAAACAAGAGATGAGGAAAGAACAGGACAGGGGAGGAGAAGAGAGGGAAAGGGAGAAGTTTGTTATGTGTGTCCTGTAATAAACCACATCTTTTCACTTCACATTCCTTCTCCCACAACCGGCCGAAAGAATCAGGGATTAGATAAGTGAGGGAGAGGAAGAACAGGGAAACAAGAGATGAGGAAAGAACAGGACAGGGGAGGAGAGGAGAGGGAAAGGGAGAAGGAAAAAGAGGTGGTGGTGATGGGGGACCTTGGGTAAGAAAGCGGGAGAATCATGCAATAATAATCGAGCCTGCCGCATACCTTTGCAGGAACCGTTAAAATGCTGAAAATAATGGTACGGGAAATGTTTAAGTACCATTAATAAAACTTCTAAAGATAAAACATTGGCGGGAGATACTAGGAGCATCGAAGAAAACTCCTGAAAAGTGGTAAATGCAAAACGGTGTGGCTAAAATCGACATACCAAACCCCCTACTCCTGGAAGTAGGTGGTGTAACTGGTGATCTGTAGGAGCCGGCTCAAGCGAGGTCAGGGGGAAAAAGAGACCTCGGGCTGGTGGCGTATGCTTCCGGTCTTCGGAGCCGTATTCATTCTGTCGCTCGGTGCCACTCCTAGCTTCACTGTAAAACTTCTTTCCTGCCTTTCGGTTTTGCAGATAGTGCTGAATCCCTGTTTGCTCCTGTAACGTCTGGAAATAATTTTTTCTTCTTCCTGATGGCACTGTCTTCAGTCTTTGAGACACTTCTTGCCTTTTCGAGGGCCCCTTACTTCTGGGTGTCAGGATGGCCGAGTGGTCTAAGGCACCAGACTTAAGCTCCAGTTTCCCGGGCTTGGCGTTCCTGGTCTCTAGTTGGAGACGTGGGTNAGCCGAAAGAATCGGGGATTAGATAAGTGAGGGAGAGGAAGAACAGGGAAACAAGAGATGAGGAAAGAACAGGACAGGGGAGGAGAAGAGAGGGAAAGGGAGAAGGGAAAAAGAGGTGGTGGTGATGGGGGACCTTGGGTAAGAAAGCGGGAGAATCATGCAATAATAATCGAGCCTGCCGCATACCTTTGCAGGAACCGTTAAAATGCTGAAAATAATGGTACGGGAAATGTTTAAGTACCATTAATAAAACTTCTAAAGATAAAACATTGGCGGGAGATACTAGGAGCATCGAAGAAAACTCCTGAAAAGTGGTAAATGCAAAACGGTGTGGCTAAAATCGACATACCAAACCCCCTACTCCTGGAAGTAGGTGGTGTAACTGGTGATCTGTAGGAGCCGGCTCAAGCGAGGTCAGGGGGAAAAAGAGACCTCGGGCTGGTGGCGTATGCTTCCGGTCTTCGGAGCCGTATTCATTCTGTCGCTCGGTGCCACTCCTAGCTTCACTGTAAAACTTCTTTCCTGCCTTTCGGTTTTGCAGATAGTGCTGAATCCCTGTTTGCTCCTGTAACGTCTGGAAATAATTTTTTCTTCTTCCTGATGGCACTGTCTTCAGTCTTTGAGACACTTCTTGCCTTTTCGAGGGCCCCTTACTTCTGGGTGTCAGGATGGCCGAGTGGTCTAAGGCACCAGACTTAAGCTCCAGTTTCCCGGGCTTGGCGTTCCTGGTCTCTAGTTGGAGACGTGGGTTCGAATCCCACTTCTGACAAGAGTATCCTTTCATTCCTTCTCGATCTGAACTTTCACCATTAGGTCTTCTCTGGCTCCCTCAACTCACTACTGCTGTAATCTGCGCTCGTAGCCCCATCTTGAGTTCCCTCACGCACTGGAGCATCACCCTCCAGTACTTCGTAGTTCTGTCCTTTCTGCCCCACCCCTCAGCGCAGCCCCGACCCATGCTCGCCCAATGACCTGGAGTGCCGGAAACACAATACAGCAAAGAAAAGCATCTCTCGCACTTCCAACGAAGCCGTTGACAAACGAAAAATCCCAATTACAGATCCTGGTGTGTTTCCAGAACCAACTAGACACATTCAAAATACCAACGCCATCGGTGACCCCTTCTCCTATAAAGAAGGCAGCAGTGAATTTTCATCACAAGGACATAACTTGCTCCAAGAGCCTATTGACCATAACGAAACTCAGGAAGTTGCAAACTAGCAAGAAAGACACCCCATTCTGGGGAGAAAGAAACCTCCAGTCAGATTGCAGTGTACTGGAAGAAAATGCTACGTTGACTGCCTTGCCATTGGGAAATCAAATGCCAGTCTCTTGTGGGACCGGCAGGGACACTGCTTATCACACGAAAGAACGACTTTCTTTAGTGGTAGCTCAGCTGAAGCGTCTCCCACACATCTGCCTTGGGCTTTTCCAGTGGAGGAATTACTTCCAGTGGGGAAATAATGAATTTACTGCATTTCTCCACAGAAAGGAACTGAAAGAAACAAAACGGGAGTAAATACAACCACTCGAATCGATTTACAGCCACTGTATATTTGCATTAGTGAGAAAAATACACTAGGAGTAAATACATATGTTTCTTTTGCCTTTTACATTTTAAAATAGCATCAAAATGCCTTATGTTGCCATCTTCCAGGTTAAATAAAAAATGAAGCAATGGGGAAGGTGGCAAATACTCAGAACATTGCTTCCTAAGTTTCTGTCAAGCTCCCTAACAGTTTCCCGACTAGAGGGATCCTCAGAGCTCAGTACTCAGCGTCCTGAGCAGGTACTGGGTGCTTTATAGAGAGAAACAAACGTTGTAAGATGATTTTAATTTTGTTTTACTTCTTAGGTTTCCTTACCTAGCCCAAAATAGCTGTGAATACTTTGAAGCAGAAAATAAAATCAGTATTAAAAAAATTGAACAGTCCAATTCAGAAGAATAGTTGGAAAAGACAAAAGTGGACAATGGAGGAAAATATTCAGAATTTTGTCATTTCAGGGGAATGTAGGGCAGGAAAGAGTGGTAGGTGCTTATAAATTTATAGGGGTGAGAAGGAGAGTGTAAAAAGTGGAATTTAATAATGGAAGTGGGAAAGTGAGGAAGTGGAGGCCTTGGGTTTAGAAGAGTAAGTTAATTGCACTTGGTTGTCCATGGTTCATTTTTGTTATTGGTCAATGAAAAATCACTCTTTGGCTTTCTCAGTTTTACTTTTTCATAGTTTTTCCCTGTTATGCCCAGTATCCAGCTCTTTCCTCTTCCCCGAAATATAGACACTCTTTCTAAAGTATTTAAAATTATTTTCTGGGATAAAAAACTGTTCTTGAAGTGTGTTGTTGATTTGTGATTCCTGATTTTTTTCTTTTGGTCAATAAAGTTTGAAAAATCTACCCATCTTACTGCATTTACATCTGCATGGTTTCTTGTGGCTGCTGCATAGTACAAAAATCATAGGTATCCACTGCGGTATACCTGATAGATATCTAAACTGCTTCTAACAATCTATTCCTTAAGATCCTACAAAGATAATACTAGGCAAGGCCAACCACAGAGCTAAGCTGGAATTTCACTGAGATAGATTCTTAGGAGAGGAATTGATGGGTAGTAATTTAAAACTATACAGGAATAAAACTCATTTAATATCAATGCTGCAAAAGCTAAGACCTTAACTTTAAGACCAACATCTCAGTCTATGTAGAACTTCATAGAATGTAACTTTTACTTTCAAAAGACAAGAAACAGGGTCATCCAAACCACATAATTCTGAGAAGAAATCCCAGAGGGAGCTTTTAATTTAGTTTATTTTAACAGCTTGAGCATTCTTTGCCATTGATGACCTAAACATGTTTTCAGCAGTGTCATGATTTTGAGGGGCCTTTCCTCCTAGAGTTTAGAGGTGACATAGGAAACCCTTTGATAGAACTTTATAACAGATTCATTTTTTTTT